TCGGCTGCCTTTCACAGGCCGCTCTGCTGCTGCGTTTATCTGCTGTCATCAGCTCTTATCTGATCTGTCGGCTGCAGAGTCGCCCTCAGCGACTCACAACGAGCTGCACAGCAAAGTTCAGCCGGAAGGCATCAGCAGAAAAAATCACTTTCTACATGTGAGAAGAAAATGACTGTTTGTAGAGAAACTGAGCTCATTGGACTCTGCTGTAGTAAATGTTCCTGTAGAACGACTGCAGGAGCCACAAGTTAGTGTGTTTTAGTTTTACTCTCAGAACTGACTTCAACAGTGAATTACTGTGTGATGATTACAGACTAATGAGAGCTTTAATGTTTATTACCGCGGCTACAGTTTCCAATAATATACTGAATTTATGTACAACAAATCTGGCAGAAAAAACAAAACAGGGAAACTGTGACATGAACAGTTTTAGCCTGTTGTTGTTTTTTATGATGCTTTTCTTCTGTCATTTTTAAAAAACAGATTTTATGTGTAATTTAGCTCTAAAATACCAAGAAAACAAAAAGATTGACCATTTCTAATCCTTAATATAGATATTTTAAGCATTTTTTCTTTCAAATATCAGCAACTTCCTATTTCTGCTGATTTAGATAAAATGTGTTTGATTTAAAGTCAGACGTTGTAAAAACAACACACCATTAAAAGAAATAAAAATACAGATGGCTGATGGGGACATTATGTACAGTTTAATAAATTAATACCTTTTTTTCCCTTCTGTTATTTTCTGTAATTGAACAAAGCAGAAAGAAGACATGGAAGGAATACAGACAGGACTGTCTCCAACTCATGTTGGTTTTTTACATTTTTAATTGTTATTGACTTAATTTATGCAAATTAATGAGCATCAGGGTAAAAATTTAAGCTGGATTTGAACAAAAACTGAATTCTTACGATCTTTGTGTTGGTTTTGTGTCACTGTGGGCTTTTGTGTCTCTTTGTCGTCGTTTCTTCTCCTCCTCTGTTTTGCTTCATCTTTCACTTTCATCTCCTCCTCCTCCTCCTCCTCCTCCTCCTCCTCCTAGTGTCACCTGTAGCTGTGGAGGCGGAGCTAATTACAGCCAATTAGCCTAATCAGATGGGGTTTTGCCGTGTCATTAACGAGATGGTTAATTAGCGAAGCCGCAGCGCTGTTAATTCGTCTCAATTCTCTTTTAAATCCTCGGATTTTTATTGCTTTGAGCCCCGAAGTGAAGAAGCCATAAACCGTTCAGCAGGTAACTGAGCCATCGTTTAGTTTGAGGGAATAAAAGTGGATCAGAGGACAGAAGACGAGTTCTCTGCTGCTCCGGCTTCCACTGAAGGTCAGAGAGGAGCCTGAAGGTGCCTGATCCGACCACCAGGGGGAGCTGCAGGGAGCAACCAGCACACGGAGCAGCTTATCATGAGTTGATCCATGAGGCGGCGCCCTCTAGTGGACGTAGTAACTATGAGCATGAAGCACAGGGAGGAGGTCGGGGTGGATGGACGGCTCGATGAAGCACACTTTTAACTTCAAGGTTATTCGGTTCCATCTCAAACTAAAAACTTCATAAAATCAGACATACGGTGACTTTTATTTGGGCGTTTTACATAATTTTTTACTAAGTTTTTGTTACTTGTATATTTGTTTGTGTATTATCAACAAAGAATGACGGCAAAGACAATAAATATACACAAAAAGGTCCTAAATGAGCACAAAGAGAAAAAAGCTGGTCACAAAGACGCACAAAGTGACCACAGAGGTGACAAAAAGTGGCCTTAAACATACAAAACTATCACAAAGAGACACAAAATGACCACAAAAAGACACAAAACGACCACAAAGAGACACAAAACCACCACAAAGAGACACAAAAC